GGCTCCCATACAAACAAGCTGGCTCCACCTGGGGCAAGGGATTAGAAAGCCCAGCACAGCCCTCGGATTCCTCTCAGCAAACCAACTGTGGCTGGAGGCAGGGATTAAACCCGGGCTGAGGAATGTGGCTCCTTCCCGCTGCGGAGTCCAAGTTGGCACTGCATCCCCTCTCAAGACTCGGCTTACATAATGCAGCTTATGAAAGCAAAATAGCACGGCCATGCCAGCCTGTGGGCAGGCCAGGGTGGGAAGAAAGAAAGGAAAAGAAGGACATTTTTTGGCTGAGGTGATGAGGCTGCCTCCCTGCACTGCTACCCCAACCTTGTGCCATGTCACCAGGGAAGGAAAGGAAGGGAGCAGTGAGGGAGAAGGGCCCAGTCCTCCTACAAGACCTGGTGTTCAGTCTGGAGTCACAGAATGTGGATTTTCCTCCCCCAGTTTACCTCTCCAACCATGGGTTTCTCCTCAGCCAGGTAAGTTCACATTGAAGTCAACCACAGCAGGTTTTGGGGCCCTGACATGCAAGAAGCACCCAGCCCCAAATTCCATTCCTTCTGAACACAGACACCTCCAAGGGCAGCTTGGAGATGCTCTGACCCACATCATCTCCCACTGGGAATGGAGCCCCTGGAGATGCTTCAGCGTGGAAAGCAGTAGGATTGTGTCTGCCCAGAACCCTTCTCCACATATTCCCACCAGAGATCGTTGCATAAAAAAGAGGAACAATCCCCAGACACTGGCTCAGGGTGGAGTCACGAGGATCAGACTGAGATCACCACTCACGAACCAGGCAATTCACAAGTGACATCTTTAGTCATCCCTTAGTGACTGATATCCCCCACAACCTGCATGGCCTCAGGAAAAGCAGATCCTACGAAAGGACTGGCCTCTTTATCAGCAAGCAAAGAGTCAGAGTTCAATTTTCAGGGAGGTGCTGAAACTGCAAATAGGCCATCAGTCCTGGAGAGCCTGGAGAAGCACTCATGGGTGTAGGACTCACTCAGGAGCCAGCCCAGGTCTGCCTGGCTTCCCCAGCCAGCTGGATGCAGAGGCAGACCTAGGGAGATCTTCCCTTTCAAGAGCTGCCACTTGTTCCCTAAGCAGCTGTCCTTACTTTAATCAGTAACTGAACAAGTGGGATGAGATCCCGGCTCAGCTGGGATCAGTGTGGGATGGCAGGAGCCCCCTCCCAGCTCTGCCACCTTGTTCCCAGGGGTCACACGAGAAATTACCACATCTGACCTTTCTCCAGCACCCTTCTAGAGCACACCCTGGCCTCCTTCGAGGGGACAAAGAACATCCAGCCACTTTTCCTAAGGTGGAAACCGTATCACTTTTATCTGCTGATGTAGCTCTCAGCCGGGACTCCTCCAGGCCCCACACCAGAGGAGCTGCTGGAGCTCCAAAAGGCATTTAAAGAGAACAAAGCTGCTCTGATAACAGCAGCTTCAAGCCCAAACAGAGGCTCTTGCAGAGCTCTGCAAATCACCCCCTCAGCAATCTGTGCCTGGCTCCCTCTCTGGGGCCATCCCTTCCTATCCTCTGCAGGCAGGACACTCACACAACATCAACACCCAAGGAAAAGGGGAAAACACACATTTGGAGAAATAAAAACAGTTTCACCCAGCAACCAGAAGTGCCTCTCTTCTCCTCCAGGTAAGGACATCACAAAGACAGCTCAGAAAATCCTGACCCAGCTAAGGCTGGCTGATTCCTCCTCCTCCAGATGTGTTCAGCCAGAGGTTGTGCCAGCCTGAAGGCTGACCTACCAAAAAAAGGTAATCAAGGAAGATCAAATAGCACTGAAAAACTCCAACAAAATAGTAAGAGAAGTAGGATGTGGATACTGGAGCAGCATCAGGGCACTCTGGGAGTGGGAAAGGGTAGGAGAAATCCAAGCAGCCACACCTGATGCACCAGGCTCTGCAGAAAGGGAAAATCTTTCTTGTACAGGAAGTAACTGGGCTGGCACAGCCTGGCATGAAAAGATGCTGCAAGTGTGATCTTGATTAGCTCATGTGCTCCAGGCTGTATTTGAAGGGAGCTGTGGCTAATTCTTTGAATTGCCTTAAAATCCAGCTGTTGGGAAAAGCCTGGCATGTGAGCAGATATATTAATGGGTTAGGGGCAGCCTTGTCTCCTAAGCTGATGTTTGATTAAAAGGGAGCACAACCAAACAGACACTTCAAAAAGCTGCTGCTATTTTTTTCTGCTTCATTTGGAGCAGTTCCTGATGCTTGGATGTGCCCAGCAAACCCTTTGGGACCAATCCTTGCTATATCATTATTCACATTTTAAGGATGTGTAAGTACAGGGAAAAGGGATTCACTTCCTCCTGAGAGGCTCAGATCAAAAGTCAAAATGTTTTCTATGAATGCATAAGACGTAAATTCAGCTTCTGAGGGTTTCAGGCTCAATTTGTAAGAGCCCCATGGTCTTAAGAGGAGGCCTCCCTACCCTATATAGCTGGGAAATGGTTTTTAGGTAACTACAAAGCAAATTCAGCAAGCAGACTTTAGGCAAAAAGTCAGAAAACAATGTCTAGAGGGAATAAATCTTTTTTTCCCTCCCTTCTAATTCATTATAATCTTTTTTTTCCCCCCTGTACTTTTAATAATGATCTGAAAAGCCATTTCCCAGCACAATGTTGTTCTGACCTTGTTTTCAGCCGGGTAATTGTGCAGTGAGTGGATAAATGCTTTCTCAGCTGAGAACAAGAGGAACCATTAAGCATCAAGCTCCTGACCTAAATTTATGTTCAGGGCAGCTGGAGGAGCAAAGGACTGATGCTGCTCCCCTTATTGTCCTGAGGGACACCCTGTAGATGGCATCTTCCTCAGGGACACCCCAATGGCACAGGGAGATGCTGTTTATCCCAAAGCCACCCAAGGAAGGTGTCCCTGCCCATGGCAGGAGGCTTGGAATGAAATGATATTTAGGGTCCCTTCCAAACCATTCCATGATTCTGGAATGGCAAAAGACAAAACCTGCTGCCCATCAGCTCCTCCTGCCTTGGTGATGCTTAGTGGCCAAAACTGAGCCATGTCCCCTTTTCCCAATTTTTTTATTCCCCAGGAGGAAAGGGTCTCTGGAGAGAGATTCAGCTTCAATGATTCACGGTGTTTGGAAGTACAGGATCTTTAAGAAAAACAAGAAAACCAAACCATGTCTTTTCCCTCCTCCTGTGCCAATGCCTTTAGAACAGTTCCCTTAATTCAGGTGTAATCCGATTCTTTCCTCTCTTCCTTTTCTTGGAAGGCATCAGAAACAGCAGCTGCCCTGCCCCTGAGCCCAAATCAGAACAAAAGTTCAAGATTTCTGGGCTCCTGAGCTACCCCAGAGCAGCCTGGGCTTGTTTTGGCTGCAGCACCCCAGCTCCCAAATCCTTGTGGCTGTGTCAGGATGGGAGGAAAGGAAAGGTGTTCCCATTGCCTGTGTTCCAGCCACACTCCACCCCACCAGGGCACAGGAACAGGGTAATTTTGGGACTGTGCTGAGGAAGGTGCTGCCTTCAATGTTCCCCAGAAGGGAGATGGAGGAAAATAGTTGATCCACAAAAAACCTGATAGCAGGAATGGCCTCATCAGCCCAGTGGGATGCTCAGGTGTACTTATTCCAGATTTAAAGGTTAAAGCATCCTCTCCTGAAGGAAGCATCTCCTGGGGAGCTGGGGAGTGGCACCACAAGTTAAATAAAGGACCCCGGTAACAAAGTGACACATTTCTACTGCTTTGGTTATTTTCCCAAATGACTGGGTTTATGCCAAAGGTGGATGAGCAGCGTTTTCTCATTTCTCTCTCATTTCCTTTCTTAGGGAGAGTGGGAAAGGTTCTTCTTCCACAAAGCTCCCTTTTAAATTAAGTTTGCTGGAGTTTTGTTTTCTGTAGGATTTCTATAACCTACAGAACTTGCGAGGAGGAGGCTGGGAAATGCACAAACATTTCTGTACCGACCCCATAATCCTCACTATTGACACTCACAAGCCCAGAACCCTTCCCATCCCGAAAGAATCCCACTCAAGCCAGAGCTGGACTATCCCTCACCACAGAACCAACCGCTGCTACAAATTCCCATTTTCTGGAGAGCACACATAGATTGAAATACTCCTGCCCCCCACAAATTAAAAGCCAATCTACCCACTATCAGAATCAAAATCCTTTCAAATGAAGGAAGGGTGAAGGCAACACACGAACAAAAAGAGGCTGCAGAGGTCAGATTGAAGGTTTTGTTCTTCTTTTTTTTATTACAAAAAAAAAAAAAAAAAAACCTATTCAGAAGAAGTCCAAATGCAACGGAATATAACTGGCACCATCTAAGATACCCAAGTGTAAAATCCCAGAACGTTTGAACCCCCCAGCAGGAGCTGGGAGTGCCAGAGCTGGCTGGGAGGGACAGGTGGCCTCTCCCTTCCCTTCTCCTAGCCCCCATCCCGGCTGGATGGCAGGCAGCCCGAGAGAGCCAGGACACAACAGTGGCATCAACGGTCTCTGTAAAACCATTCAGCTGGAGAAACTAAGAACATCATGGAAAAAAAAATAATCTAAAACTTCTCTTCTTTTTTTTTTTTGTTCTTCTTTTTTTTTTTTTTTTTTTTTTTCACCTTGATCAAAAGCCCTGCTTAAGTGACATGCTAGCCCTGCTGGACAGGTGACACAGCCACAGCTCTGTCCGGAACACTGTTGACCAGTCAACTCTTGGTTCAGGACACCTTCCTCCCACTCCGAGCGTGTCACGACCACCCGAGGCACAGTGACAAATGCTTCTGCAGGCTTCCCGCTCTGGGAACCCTCTCCTGCCAGCTCCACTCCATGCTGGAACAAATCTCATCCGAGTCTCCCTCCAAGCTCACCCTCAGTCCCACCTGGAGGCCTCCGACAGCATCCGCAAGAGCTCTGCCCGCTCTGGCCGGATGAGGCGTTGGAACGTCATCTCTTCAAGAAAAAAACACTTTCATATATAATTTTTTTTTTTGCTGTTTTTATATTTAAATAGAAAAATACTACTTCACTCTGTGTTATAAGCCAGAGATCGGTTGACTTCCAGTGACAGAACCAAGAGTTCTCCTCAGCGCTCCTACGCTGAGCTCAATGCCAGAAGATTCCCAGAAACCTCAGAGTGGCCGGAGGGCGACGATGTCCCCATCACGTCCCCACACACGCACAGCTCCTGTCACCACAGCTCCCATCTTCCCTTCTCCGCAGAGAGGCACCAACCTTAGAGAGCCATCAGTCTGCAGAGAGCCAGCAGCGGGGCTGGCCCCCCAAATCTGGCTCTGCTTTAAGCTTTCTCCTCTCCTACAAGCTTTCCACGTGTGCAGTCTGTCCCTGGAAGCCACTGGATCCCATCGGATGTACACATGAATTAGACAAAAAAATAAAACAGTGGTTAAAAGTTCTCTAACACCCCGTCCTCCTCCTGTCTTCTGAAGAGTCAACGACAAACAGACACGGATAAAACTAAACCTGCCCTCCTCCCCACCTCAAGACAACAAGAGTTACTGAGACACGAAACATGTTATCTTGTACCCTCGGGATTACATCTAGAAGGGAAGTTTAGGGGCGCGGGGAGCGCGGGGGGAGGCGGTGTCTGCGGGGCGCACTCCGGCTTAGTTCTTGTACTCAAAAGGCTCGTCCCCGGTTTCGTTGAGGAGACACGTGCGGACCAGCGCCTCTGTCACGGCGTAGGGGTCGCAGTTGGCCGAGGGCCGGCGGTCCTCGAAGTAGCCCTTCTTCTCGTGGCCCACGTTGCGCGGGATGCGGATGCTGGCGCCGCGGTTGGCCACGCCGGCCGAGAACTCGTTGATGTTGGACGTCTCGTGGAAGCCCGTCAGGCGCCTGGCATTGTCCAGCCCCCCCTTGGGGTCGTAGGCACGGATGTGGTACTGGTGGCGCTTGCTCAGCTTCTCGATGGCCTCCTCGATGTGCCTGCAGAGGGAGGGACGGAGGGACAGGGGTGGCACAGTGAGGGACGGGACGAGCTGAACCCCTCTGGAGTGTTGCATCAAAGTGACAACGAGATGAATCCATGTCCCTGAGCCGCTTCATGATGATGCTTTGTTCCCCACAACCCACTTGGCTGTTCAGCCCAACACAGGGTTTCTCTCCACACCTGCTGCTGACCCAGGTTAAGCATCCTCATGGCCAAATGCCACAGGCTCCCTAAGGGGCGACACCACCAGTGAAACCTCCCAGTTCCACCTGCTCTCGGATGGGAGAGCTCTCAACGCTGGAGTTTCTATTCATGAGGCTCACACAGTCACAGGCTGTCCCATTATCTTAGGGCAGCACTAAGATTAAGGCAAGAAAACAGAGCTGCCAGGACGGATCCCTCCGCACAGCCCCAGTGACACAGGGTCCCTGACTGCACTCAACACAGCAGACCCGTGCAGGAACTCATGGTTTGCATTTTTAGGATGTTCGCCTTTAAAAAGACATGGCAGCCTTGCCATGAAGCAAAGATGAAGCAAACAGTCTCTTTTATCATGGCTATAAAAATATAATTTAAAAAGCCCTGTGCTGAGTTTGTTTGTTTGTTCCCAGCACTGAGAGGTCAGGAGCTGGACAGGCTGTTAGGGATAGCTGCATCCTGTACTTCTACCAGCACTGGTGGAGCTGTACTGCCGGCTGAATCACCCACCAAGTACCAAGACGAGAATGTATCATTATAAAAAATACATATTAAGAAAAAAAGAAACCACAAAAACAAAACAACCGGGAAAAGCCCATCCAGAAGACTCGGATGTCAAGCCAAGCACAAACTCCCATGTCATCCAAAGCATTGCAAAATCCTGCTGCCCAGTAAACAGCCCAAACACTTACTTGAGACCTCCTTCTTCCCTCATGCTCTTGGTGCTGAAGTTGGTGTGGCAGCCAGCACCGTTCCAGTTCCCAGGGATGGGTTTGGGATCGAAGGACACCACGACCCCGAAGTCCTCGCACACCCGGTGCAGGATGAAGCGCGCGATCCAGAGGTGATCTCCCATCTCAATCCCTTCGCATGGTCCCACCTGGAACTCCCACTGCAAGGAGGAGGCGTCAGGGGCTCAGTGGGGTGGAGACAGGCACCTCCCACCCCCTGACGCTGGGCACAGCCACACAGCTCAGAGCAGGCAGACACAGCTCCCACTGCCTGGGGTTTTTCCACGCTGCTCTCTCGCTCCATGAGGTGTCTCAGGATGATTTACCTGGGCTGGCATCACCTCTGCGTTGGTTCCTCCGATTTTCACGCCGGCATAAAGGCATGCTCGGTAGTGAGCCTCCACAATGTCCCTGCCATAGGCTTTGTCTGCCCCCACACCGCAGTAATACGGACCTGCAACAGCACAGGGGAACATCAGCCTCCACAGGGAAAAACGCTGACATTCTGTGAAGACCCAGCACGCACAGAGAACTCCTCAAAAGCCCCAAGATCTGTTTCTCACAGAAGAACTAGCAGGGTAGAACACTGACCGAGAGCAAGGTTCCCCCTGAGTTTAAGTCCCCTGCATACCAACAAACCAAGCAGCAAATTTGGACGTGGCCAATCCCCACCTCAGCCCTTCTGCTGCAAATTTTATCTCGTGGTTAGTTTTTGCCAATATCCCGCTTTCTACCGTCCACCTTCGGCTCTAGGAGCACCTTGGATCCCTCAGTTGGCCTGAAGCTGTGCCACACAGATTTCAGTTCCAACACTCCTGACTTGGTCCAGGCTCCTGAAAGATTACCTTGGGGTCCAGGGAAGCCATTGGAAGGCCAGCCAAATGGATGTCCATCTGTCCCCAGGAGAGTGTACTCCTGCTCCATCCCAAACCAGGGGTGCTGGTTGGACACCATGTCCATAATCCTCCTGCAGGTGTGCCGGAGATTTGACTCTGGAACGGAAAAGAGACACGAGGCTCATGAGCACCTCCACCTCCACTCCCCATTTCCACTCATTGTACAGTCTGAGTCCCAGCAGCGTTGAAGAATCCCAAGCCCAGCCCTTTGTCCATCACCAGCACTTCGTTTGCCCTCTGCTTTCAAGGCAGGGGTTATTTCTGTGTCATGCTAAGGGCACAGACAGCACTTGGGCAGGTCTCCCATTCCCCCTCCCGGGAACACCACCTGCACCAGGAGGAGGAAGGACCAGGAGAGGGTCCTTTCATTCACCTGCAGACTGGCGGTTGTATTTGAAGACTTCACAGAGAACGAGTTTGTTGGGGTCCTTGCGGAAAGGGTCCCGAAACATGGCAGCAGGTCGCAGGTACATGTCACTGTTGGAGCCTTCGGACTGGTAGGTGCTGGAGCCATCAAAATTCCACTCAGGGAGATCTGGAGCAAAGAGAGCAACCGGCCACAGTGACCCAGGTGGACTTCCTGCCACCCCCCCAGTAAGACAGAGGTGAAGATGCTCATAGAGAATAGGTTTAGTCCCAGCTCAGCTGATTTTGTTCCAAGTGGGGGAAGCAAAAAAAGGAAAAAAAAAAAAATAAACACCCAAAACAAGTAAAAAAACCACAGGAGTGCAACTCCCCAGCCACCCTGGGAAATAACAAGTTGCTGGGCTGCTGGCCAAGCCTGACTGAACAGAGTAGCACTGAGGACGTTTCCCATGTCACAACAACCACAGGGAAGAGCAAAGCACCCGGTCCCCTCGGCTGGGAGAGGGCAGACCACGAGCCATGTTCCAGGTGTGGGAATGAGGGGAGCCATGGAATATCCTCAATCGTGCTACAAGGCCTGAGGAAGGTGGGAAGGCAAATCACAGAGAGGTGGAATCTCATATGGAAAGGGAGTGTGGCCCCTCGCCCACCCCTCCATCCTGAGCACTGCCCTCCAGGTCAAAGCCCAGAACTCCATCCGGGCAATGGTATCTCCTCCATATCCCAGGAGGAAAGAGGGAGGATGGGAAGCACAAAGATTTCCAAGGAGCTGTGCCAACCACTCCCTCAGAGGGAAAAGGGGAAAGGAGAGAGGGGAAAAGGGAAAAAAAAAAAAAAAAAAGAAGGAAAGAAAAAAGATAGTTCTGCTCAGTCACACACAGTATTTTCATTTCATAACTGTCTCCAGCCAGCTCCATGGCAACCTGGGGAAAATCCTAATGCTATTATTGTGTAAGCTGGGACTGTTTGTTCTGAGGGACACAAGCTCTTAATTACACCGGATAGCTCCATTCTTTCCCCTGCACTTTCTTCTGCCAAACTACTTCCGGCCAAAACGAGTACTCGAGAGTCAATGGGCAGCCGAGCCCCTGCCAACAGCCCCCAGCCCCTGCCAACAGCCCCTCCACGCAGGGACAGCACCAAGGACGGGCTCCCAGCCCCAGGCGTCTCCCTGAAACTCCACATCTGGAGGGCTGGGAACGTTCCCCTGCGGTGTCTGGGGAAAGAGGTAACTGGAAGGGCGCGAGGAGGAACGTCTTCCCTAAAAACCATCCTTCTGCCACGGGAAGAGAGAAATGGCATCCTTCCTCCACCCGGCGAGGGGCCACGAGTGCTGCACCTGCCTTCTCACCTTCCAGGCTCTTGGGCTCGTGGTCCAGCGTGCGGGTTTTGCAGCGGAGGTGCTCCCCCGTGCCGTCGATCCAGATGTACATGGCCTGCACCTTCTCCCCCTGCGGCAGCTTCATGTACATGTGCTTGATGGCTTTGCTCAGGTGGGAGCTCGCTGAGGTGGCCATGGCTGCAGTCCTGACGAGGGGGTTCCTGCAGGGGGGGAAGCACAAACAGCCCCAACTGTGAGCCTTCTCCTGCGTTCCCACATTTTTCAACCCCCCTCTCCACCCTCCCAAAAAGGCCAGGGAGGAGCACGAGACAGCTCAGCCACCACAGGGCTGGCTGCCATCTCCAGCGGTTCCCTGTCATTCCTCAGGGAGAACACACAGCAGCTCAGGCAGATGCCGGCAGCCAGGAAAGCCCTGCTCCAGAAACCCTTCAAAAGAGTCCCATTAATACCGAAACTCTTGCTAACAAACCAGAGCAACAGACTTCCAAAGGGCTCCTTAGCCCCACGTGAACTTTTCACCTCTACACTCTGCTCGAGAGCAAGGCTAATGCAAGGAGAGCTTAGCTGGGGCTTTCTTAATAAATCTGCATCATCTAGGAGGGCTTTTCTGCCCCAGCTGCCTTCTCAGCCCGGCTGAGGTTATCCAAGCCCGGTCCCAGGGCAGCAGGAAACGCAACAGGCAGCACACCGAGCCCTGAGCACCCCAGGCAGTGAGGACGAGGCGGGATGGGCCAGAGTGGCTCTAGAACCAGTGGGTGGAAGCTGCAGCATCCCCAGAGCCCTGCGAGCCGGGCTCCCAGCGCCAGCCAGCCCACTCGTGTCCGACCCACAGCAGCGGGCTCCACGCGTGTTTTCCAGGGAGCTTGGAAATGCCAACAGTTTGGAAACGCGGACTGACTCGGGAAGTGGCTCTAACATGCCGTTCGCCTGCGGGAGGGCTCGGGATGAGCTGACCCCAGCCCACCCCCGCTGCGGCTCCCAGCGCCCCGCTGCCCTGCCAGAGCATCCCCCAACGCGAGCATCTCCTGGCAGCGAGGGAGTCCCCGCGCTGCAGGCAGCAGCTGAAGAGCCTCGTGGGGGTAAAAAAAAAAAAAAAAAAAAAAAAACAACCGCAAAAACTGCGAAGGGAATGTTTTCAACAGAAAACTCAAGCTGCCACTTCCTCCCCCCCCTCATCCTCCCCTTCCCCCAAAGGAGGAATTTTCCCTCGGAAGGTCTGGGGGGGGCTGTCTCCCCTGCCGTCCCCGGGGGGCTGCGGCGGGTGTCGGCCAGCGGCACCCCCCTGTCCCCGTGTCCCCCCGGGCCGGTACCTGGGCTCGGCGGCGGCTGCGGGCGGGCGCGGGGCTCCCACGCTCGGCTCCCGGGGCCGCGCCCGCCGCCCCTTTATGGCGGAGCAGCGCCGGCCCCGCCGCACGGATTGGGCAGCGGGGCGGGACGGGGGGGACCCGGGAGGGGGGACAGGGCCACCACCCCGCCTCCTCCTCCTCCTCCTCCTCCTCCTCCTCCTCCTCCTCCTCCGTGCGCTCCGGCGGCATCGCGGCCCGGCTGCCCCGGCAAAGGGGGGAGCGCTGCCGCTTGCCCCGCACTCGGTCGGAGGCGGGGGGGTGTGTGCGGAAAACTGCGGAAAGCGGAGGGTTTGGGTGGATTTTGGGTCTTTTTAACAACGCTCCCGACCGGAAGAGCAGCCCCTGGTCCCTGGGCAGGTGGGAGCGGATCCAGCGCTTTCCGCAGCGTTTACATTAGCGGCTGCCTTGGCACGGCTCGCAGGGATGGAAACCGGCCACCCCGGGAGAACGGGGAGAGACAGGGAGGAGGGAACTCCACCGAGCCCCGAGCACAGGGTGCCAGCCTTTGGGAGGGGGACAAGAGCCTCGGTGCCCTGCTTCTCCTCCTTGGAGCAGGTCACAGCCTCCAGCACCTGGATTTGCAAAGCCTCGCTGCAAGGGACAGGATCGCTCACTGTCACTCGAGGGAGGAGGGATCCCCCAGCCCCACCATGGGAGCACCCACTCCAGCACCCAGCAAACCGCAGGCAGTGCACAGTATTTTTCCACCCCACCGGGTCGCTTGTCCTATCTCCTGTAACTCCGTGCAACTCCCAGCCCGGATCCAAGGGGCAGGAGAGCCGCGCCAGCAGGATCAGACGGAGCTGCCACCCGTGGGTGTGCACACGCTGAGGGCACACGCAGGTCCCAGGCCGAGCACACGCCACCCACACGCCTGCCACGGAGCCGCAGGATCCTGCTCTGCCCCATGCCAGCCTCGGGGAGATGGCACCGAAACTGCCATTCCTCGAGATGCTGGAGCCTCCTGGCCATCACAGCCACCCCGCCGCGGTCATAGCCACTGTACAGCCAGAATCGAAAGGGAAAATGGCCAGGGAGAGCCGGATCCTCAGGCGGGAGGAGGTGGAAGCGCTGGCCAAAACCACGATTTGATTTATCGCCCATCTCAAGAGCCAGAATCCCCACCCTCCCTGCGGGAATAGCTTGGCTCAATCCTCACTACCACCTTGGAGCAGCCATCAAGTGTGTGGCAATCCCCCGAGGCTGTCCAGAACAAGGTGAAATTCAGGAGTTCTTCTCCTCCTGGAATTGCTTGGGCAAGGCAGAGCCACGGAGCATTGCAAAAGCCTCCCCTCAGCACCCAGAAAGTGCCTCCTGCCAGCACCCCAGCTCCTGCACCCTGTGCACAGAGAAATGGTTCCAACACACAAAGAAACGTGGTGTTTTACCCACGGAAATGAGCTCAGGAACTCACGTTCAGCCCAAGTTCAGCTGTGGTCACCCAAATCTAACAGCTCAGCTGGAGCAAAAGGAAGCAGAGCAGGAGCTGGTGCCCAAAATAGCTCCCATAAAGGGGAGCTGTCAAGCCACAGGCAACGTAAAGCAGTGTCCAGCCCTCTTTCCCTAGGCTCGTTGAGTGTTTCTGTAATCGGGACACTGAGAACTCCGATAGCTCCAAATTCTTGGAATTACGCCTGCTACCTGCTAATTTCCCAGTAACTTCGTCCACTTTTGGCTGCGAACAAGCCCAGATGTTTACAAGTGGAAGCCCCTGAGCAGTGGGGTGACCCCGGTGCCGTGCAAGCCTCGGGGCTGGGCAGCTCCAACCAACCCTGAAGGCAAGCGGGGAGCACAGGCAGCTTGGCAATGTAAACATCATCTTTCCATCCCAAAAATCCACGCCGGGCAGCAAAGCCCAGCCTGGGAGGGACCTCCAGGGTAGGCAAGGCTGTGATGGCGGGGGTGGGAGGATGGAGCCGCCAGCCGCGGGAGGGTTTGGTGGCTGGCTCATGCCCAAGCCCCTGTGCTCGCCCTGCACAAGTTGTTTACGAGCCAGCGGAGAAGCCGCAGCCGCGGACCCAGCGCCCTCTCCCGGGAAGCGCTCCCGAGCCTCCTCGCTGGGCTCACCTAGCTTGTTTACCTCCTGCCTTCCTTCCCCTCCTCCCTTCCAGCCTGGCTTTTTTTTTTTTTTTTTTTTTTTTTTTTTGGAAAGCCTTCTCAGGCTGAGCTTTGGCCCAGCTGCGTGCTCCAGTGACCCTCGGTGTGGCCGACAGCTCCTCGGGGAGCTGGGGAAGGCTCGGTGCCAACAGGTGACACGACCCACGGGTGGATTGAAATCTGCATTCAAAGGGCCACACGCGGAGCCAGAGGGCGAGACAATGTCCCCTTCCAGGGGCGAGTCCCAACTGGCGCAGGTTTTTCCTTCTTCCTCCTATTAATTCATGGGAACACCTTTATTGGCCGGGCCCGGCACTTCCCGCCGGCACAGTTTGATATCCTGAGAGAAGTGCCAAGGTTGGGAAGTGGCTGGTGAGTTACGAGGGTTGGGCAGGCTGGACTTTGCAGCCTCCTGCCTCCAAGGCAGCTGGGCAAACCCTCAGGGACACGGCACAGCCGGGTCCCTGCGCTCTCCAGGGAAGGTTTGGGCACCAGGATGGGTTTCTCTCAGGTAGCATGAGACGTGCCTGCCCTTTTCCAGCTCCAGCCAGCAGCCAGTAAAGAATCAAGGCTTCCCTCTCCACTGTGCCTTGCCGGGGTGCTGTGACCCATCTCTTGTCCGTGGGTCCCCCTCCATCCCTGTCCTCCATTTGGGAATGCCTTAAAATGCAGAAATGTTACAGCATTGTGGGGGTAGGGGGGTGGGTGGGAAGAGGAGAGTGGCAACTTGAGGGTTAAATAGACAGGATATGAAATATCCCTGTGGCTCAGGTCCTGGGGCAGGTGGCTGATGGCTTTGCTCCTGCAGTGCTGGGATTTTCCCAGCATCGTGGGGCCATCTCCAAGGGTGGCCCCTCACCACAGATCCTGGGATCTCAAGCCCAACAGATTGCAGACCCTGACTGCTAAGCCCAGGCACCCATTGGTTTTTCACCAGCACTAAAGAAAAATACTGAAGTAGAAAGGAATGTTGTTTTTGGTTTTTTTTTTCCCGAATGGAGGTGTCACACAGGGAGGAGTAATTGCTCATTTTGTTGTGATGGTTAGGTCCCAGGAGGAGGCTGGACACACCCAAAATGCCCCAGTCTCCAGCAGTGGCACAGCTGGGAGGAAAGAGGGATGGGCATAACATCATGGAATCACAGAATGCTTTGGTTGGAAGGGACCTGAAGGTCATCAAATCCAACCCCCTGCAATGAGCAGGAACGTCTTCAGCATCTCTCCTCTCCCCATGCTCAACAGTCAAGACATTCCTAAACTGAGCTATACCACTTCCAGAGGCATCTAGGGAAGTGCTTTAGGCTGGGAGGTCCTGCACGAGGAACTGAACTGCTCCCAAGTGACATCAGCCACGAGCTGGCTGTCCTGGTGTTGCATCACCTCCATCTCTGCCCACCCCTGGGCACAGCTGCCTCGGCTTGGAGCCATGACAGCGGTTCCTGGTGTTCTCCCGAGGTGCTTCCAGGCTGGGACACCTGGAGATGCAGCGTGTTTCACCCACGACTAGGCACAGGAGGGCTGGAAACATCCACCTAGCACCTGAGCAAGCGCTTACTTCAGACGGGCAGGGAGCTGGCCGCGGGGTAGGGGGATGAATGCCCCGGGGGGACTGACCTTGTGCAAGCTGCAGTGGCCGACCGCTCTCCCCCGGAGCGCTGCAGGAGGCTGACGAAAGCCCCCGGGGCAGGCAGGCAGTGGCTGCTGGCCCTGGCTGTGAGCAAACATTGCACGCTCCGCAGCAGGCCCATGTTCCCTTTGAAGATGCTGCCAGGGTCAAGGGTGGCCGCGGGCTGGTGGCCAGAGGGCTTTCAGCTTTCCAGAGCAGATCACCTGGGCTGCCCTAAAGGGCAGTTTAGGAAAGCAAATTAATAAGTGCAAACATGCAGAGGCACATGCAGAGGGGGGAAAAAATCCCTTCCCTCCCCATTCAGCTCCCCAGGACACACCGAGGGAAGAGGGACCTTGGGGCACGGCTCCCAGGACAGCCCAGGTGCTGCCACCTCCCTCCCCACCCCTTTCTGAGCCACCTGGCTGCCTGTCCCCGTGCCCACCGCCCACCTTGCCACCCTTCCCAAGAAGCCATGGCATTGCTCCATGCCCCAGCAGCCCCTTGCCCAGATCCAGCAGCATTCCCGGCAGGCAGCCCCTACCTGCTGCTCCGCAGACCTTGCCCGGGGGCCGAGCGCCTTCCAAGAGCACGTGCTCGCCTTCAACAGCGGCCCGGGGGGAAGCTGGAAGATGAGAACATCAGGGGCAGGCGGGATTTGAGACCTAGAAATTGCTTGGCTCAGTTCGTTCTGTACAAGGGTGGAGAATATCCCAGGGAGAGCTCAGCACATGCCTTTCCCCGCAGTTGGAAATCGGTCACGCTGTGCATTGGCAGGGTTGTTTTTGTCGGGATTTCCCCCCCCTCCATTTTCTTTTTCTATTGTTCACACTGTTAAAAGCACTCCCAGCCAGGTTTGGGACTGTGTTAGCTGTGGCTGGCGCATTAATTTAAGCCTGACACACCTCACAGCTCTGTAAATGAGAGTACAGAAACCCTCAAACTAAAAAACCTAAGCCTAAGTGGATTAAGGGGTGAATCTGGGCCTGACATTGTAAATTATAAAAGGTAACAGCAAAGTGCCGCTGCCCATGTCCCTCCCTTGTGGCTGAATTAGGTCCCTGTCCTGCCACAACACATACTTAACCCGGGCTGCTGAAGTCAACAGCCCCAGAGGCTTGGATAAGGTTACACCAGTGGTTCTGCTTCAGCTGGAGGGGAGACAAGTGAAGGCAGAGCCTGCCACAGGGGCTGTCAGGTGTAGGGGACAGAGCCCAGCCTGCACGGACAGTCCCAAGCAAGGGAACCACAGACAGACGGCTACAGGCTCAAAAATACTCCCAAAGGAAACATCAATGGTGTCCTTGCTGAGCAAACAGATCTTGTGCACTCAGGAGACTGAGCATGGAAATCATATGTGAAAAATAATTGTTATATGTTCAAGAAAGGAATTAATATTTAAGGTTGAACTGGAACTCCTCAGGCCTTGGGCAACTCCAGTTTTAAGGCGCTGTGGGCATAATGTCCTATAAACTATTTATATGAAAATAGGATGAGGCTGTACAGGGGAAAAAAAGTCCCAAATCTTCCCCCAAAAGCTCACGGTGGGGATATAATACAATACTTATGCTAGAGGGGAGAGCAGGTTTGTGCACTCAGGCTGGAGTTTCCAAGATTTCTGGGTCTCCAGACCATCACCCAGAACCAGAAGCAATGCTGAGATGTCCGGGGTGTGTGGGAGACAACCCCCACCCCCCTGATGGCACCAAAAGGGACAGGCTGGGCTACTGGGGGAGGCTGTGAGTGGCCAGTGACCACAGGCAGTGAGGCTGACGTGTTTGGGCAGCCTTGGACTTTGCCACCATGGGGAGCAGTGCCAGCTGATGTTGGGCAAGGAGAAAAATCGCAGCCCCATCCCCTCTGCTGCCCTGGGAACGTGAGGCTCTGCCACTCGTCACCTCAGGGCTGCCAAGGGAGGGCTGCTCCCCGTGCCAGGAACAGGGGACAGGGGACAGGGGACAGGGGACAGGGGTGATTCAGGCTGGGGCAGGGGGGGAGCGAAGCCCTCCTGACGTGTTTGCTGTTGCAACCCTGCCCTTTTTATGGAGTCCAGCTACTCCGAGCTTCCTTCTAAATCTGGGCTGTGCTCGTGTGTCCACCTCTTTTTTTTCAAACCTTTTTTGGTTTTTCCTAAATAGCCACCCAGCTCACGTGAGCTCCTCTTGTGAGGAGGAGACAATGTGCCCTGGGAAAACCTGGGAAGCTGCAGCCGGGCTGGGGAGAGCTCCATCCTGCCAGACCTCTTGGGGTCTCCTCTTGGGGAGGAATTCCGTGGAAACGGGCCTGTGCCCTCCCACAGTGACCATGTTGGCCAATTCCTGCTCCTAACTTTAGTTTTTTCCTGGCAGAAGCCATCACAGTCCCGCTGAGGTCAGTCCAGAGCTGAATGAGTACCCAAGGAACCACCCCAGCCTCTGAGGATCCCACTGGGCATCTGCTCAGTTGCCAGCTGGAAAGTGTGGGGTTTTTTTAAGTTTTGACCTTTCTCTGAGGACTTTTGAGTCTTTTAGGTGTGAGACAGTTCATTCCTAACCCTCCCTCTCATCTCTTGGGCTCAGCAGCATAAATCTGTGTGGATCCATGACCGGAGCTACTCCTCCCCAGGGTATCCCATAACTCCTTCCCCCAGCTCCGCCTGGCACCACTGCGACGTGCCGGGGTTTTGTGGCTCACGGCTGCCCCTTCCCCACATCAGTTTGGGTTTTGGCCATCCCGTGTGGCTGGGCTGTGGCCGAGGGAAGGTGAGTGTACATCCCCGAGAGGCTGTGCCGGTCGCCCAGCGCTGTCCCCTCGGTGTCCCCAGCACCAGCCCCACAATCAGCTGGGAGCTGCTCCTGTGCCACTGGCGCTGTCACAAGCCGCTGGCCGAGATGCAGAGCCCTGCTGCTGCTGCTGCTGGGAACAGCTTCGTATTCCTGGTTTGACAGCGCCACCTCGTGAGGTGGCCCCGCTCCTGGGGACGCTGTGGGACACTGTGGGACACTATGGGACACTGTTCTTCGCGGGTGCCCCCGGCTCTGCCACCACGGCATCACAAAGAGCAGGGTCAAACACCCACCTGGGGAGCAGATTCTTCCTCCTGCCAGGAAACACAGGTCACTCTTGCTGCACGACGGGTTCCTTCTTTTTCTCCTCCGTCCCCTTCTCCTCTTCCAACGGGAGGGTCTCCAAGGTTGGGTCTCAGCCCCAGATCTGACGAGGAAAGACGGCTGATAAGAAATCAGTGGGCTTGGTCTGTTCGGAGTCTCCTGTGAAATTCCCATCCCAATCCGAGCAGATGGACTGACAGCGACCACGCCCAGCCCTGAGGTACCACCTTGCTTTGAAGGCAAGAAGTTTGCCCCAGCAGGGAGAGGGGAAAGGTTTCATTTCAGGACTGCCCGAGTGTGTCTGCAGGGCTGGCGATTTAAAAAGCGACATTTCACAGAATCACAGGATAGGTAAGGTCAGAAGGGACCACCTGGTCCAACATCTCAGCTCAAGCTGGGTCCCCTGAGCTCAGTACTGAGGATTGTGCTCAGATGGTTCTCAAATATCTCCAGTAAGAGAGTCTCCACAACCTCTCAGGGCAACCTGTTCCAGTGCTCAGTCACTGTCACAGTAAAGAAGATTTTCCTCATGTTCAGGTGGGAATTCCTCTGTTCCAAGTTGTGCTCATCCCATTGCTTGGCACCACGGAGAAGAGCCTGGCTTCCATCCTCTGGGCATCCCCTCTTCAGGCACACACAGACCCTGATCAGATCCTCTCTCAGCGTTCTCCTCTGCAGGCTAAGCAGGCCTGGAGGGAGCTGCTGAGAGCCCTGTGGTGCCCAAGAGAGGTCACCAAAACAAGTGTGTCACAATCAGGGTGGCACTTTGGAACACAGCACCAGAACACTGCACCATCATGATGGCTGCTGGTGAGTTACTCTTTGCTGGGGGCTTCAGCCCCTCTAAACACACCCCAAAAGGTGAAAAAAGGGGGAAAAAAAGGAGCATCAAGCTTTGAAAGATGGGTCATCCCTGTAACACAGCTGTGCCTTCGTGGAAGAGGACATTTCCAAGGGCATCCACCCACCAGCAGGCTGATGCCAGCCCACCTTCTTGCATCCAGATATTTCAGACATGAATAAAACTTCACAGGGTAGCAGGAGATTTTGAGCACTGACACTTGCACTGAGTCTTGGGTGAATGAGCTGTGTTATGCCCAGTGTCTGGGTAAGGCATAGGAGCACAGCTCCTGCCCTGCAGCCACAGCACCTCTCTTCTCCTGTCCTATGGATGCCACCACATCTGTGCCCAGCCTCTATGAACCACATACCTTTGCTGTTTTGGAGGCTGCCATTCAAACTTCCCAGCTCCTGCATGCTTCTCAACCTGGTGCTTTCCAAACAGCCTGTGCCACTCAGCCCAAAACACATTTCACAGACTGTCCCAGCTCCAAACCGTCCCACATGCACACAGGACAAGCTTGTACCACATATCCCCTAAAGCTGATTCCCCCAAAAACTCCTCCTTTGGCTCACAGTGATGTTACAGCTGGCAACACAAAGCCCAGGTAACTTTCTCTTCTCCCCCTGTAGCATCCATAGCCTCCACGGACATGGGGCTTCTGCTGCAAGATGATGTTTTTGCTGACTTCTTCAACACCTTTCTGAACCTTCCTGTAAGTCCACTCTGCGCCATAAAACCTGGGGCCTTTCAGAGGTCTCCTCAGGTGAACTTTCTGTGGCATTAGAGGCCCCAGGAAAACTGGGAGTACACCACATTCAGGCTGGAAAATGAGGGAAACCTGAGGATCTCAACTAAGAGATAGAGGTCTAAAAAGGAATTAGATGCCCTTCTGTGTAGTTGGAATTAACAAAAACAGCTGGGCTCTGGGCTCCTCTGCCACCCTCCATCTCTTTCAGCTCTCCCTTTCTGTCTTGATCCAGGTTTTTGGCCAGACACCCCTTTACATCAGTGGCACGGGCCGGTGGTACCTGTGGCCAGAGCTGCCGAGCCACCTGGTGAGAACATGCCCCTTGTTAGAAGGGAGAAAGAAGGAGGAAGGGCACAGGGCAGGGGAGGGAAGGAGCTGTTTCCTCACTGCCAAGGCCCCTCTCTGGCTCTCCTGTTCGTGCAGCTGGGCGATCATTTCAAACCCAGGCGTCACTTCGTTTTTATGCCCTGGGCGGAGCAAGCCATTTAAAGTCCTGCTGCAGTTTATGGGGTCTATCTATAAACACCGAGGGCTGGAGCGAAGGAGAGCATGTGTGGTAGCAGAGAAGGACACAGACATCAGCCCTTTGTCCCGGATTCCTCCTGAAACCAGCAGGAGCGAAGCCCTGTTGCTCGCCAGGCTGGCTTCCCCACAGCCACTTTCAGGGCTCAGATCCCAAAGCAAAGCGGATCCTGCTCCTCTGGAAGCTCTCGGGAAGCTGCCATGCCTGGGCTCTGGGGGAGAGGCAGGGGAAGAAGCCCTGCAGCAGCCGTGCAGCGCCGGGGTTCGCAGGCAGAGCTTTTGGGGATGCAGGCAGGGGCTGCGACTTGAGTATCCCCCCCCATGCCTCATCGCCATAAAGCAACAGGGCGCCTTCCCCACCTCCTTCCCCTGTGCCGGGGACCTGTTACTCACCCTAATCGCCAGGCAGGAGCCGGCTCCTTGCTCGCAGCTAATCCTCTCCTCGGGCAACGCAGGATCCCAGCCCCGCGGCTTTGCTGGCTTGGTTGGAAAAGCACCGGCTGCCTCACTTCTGCAAATCCAGCCTGTGCCTCCACCTCGTCCTCTGCCAGAAGCTGCTGGGTTTCATTCGCTCGGGGGAAGCAGGTGAGTCACGGCGGCACAAATCGGATCGGCTTCTCCTCTGCCGCTGGGCTTCCTCTTCCCCCCGGGGCTGTCACTGCCTGGTGCCTGCCCAGTGGGTCGTGCCTCTGCTCCGGGTTAAGAAGGCGTTGCACATCCCATTTTTAGGGATGCAGCAGGTGCCGATGGGATGTGCAGGGATTTACTCCACCACGCTGTTAATACAGGCTCGCAAAGTACTTGCCTAGCAGGGTTTATCGAGGTGGAGCAGAGCTGCAGAGCATCACGGGGCACGGGAAACAGAGGTGCTGATGCTTTGGGTTTGCTGCTGTGCAAAGAATGCCTTGGGAAAATCGGCTGTGATCTCTCTTACTGCCAACAAATCTGGATTGTGCTCACTTTGCCCCTAAAAGGAGCCTTCTCAGCCCAGCCAGGTACTTCCTCAGCCTGCGTGTCAGCTGCCACTGGAAAGAAGGCTGTGGCAGCAGGAATGCAGATCCTCATTTCAGAAAAGCTTTTCCTGAGTATATTGCTGCTGCTTCTCCAGTCGGGTTGAAACTCAAAGCTGGAGGAAGTAGAGGGCGAGCCCCAAACTCGGGCAAGAAAAGATGGACATGTGCCAGGAGCAGAGGCACAACAGCTGGACAGGCTGTCCCGGACAGGAGCCAGTTATCCTTGCAAACACCACGTGTGCATCCCACAGCCTGTCCCAAACTCCCAAATCGGGGTGATTTGCTGGTCTCCCTCTAGCAGCCTCTTTCAGGGCTGGAGCTGGAGATTTTCCTTGAGATCTGACAGGCAGCCCCCGATGCCATCTGTCCCACAGCAGAGCTCCTGAACTGGCAGAGCGCTGACCAGTGGCTGCTGGAGAGGTGCATCAGTGGGAGCCACGGCATGCGGCACTTCCGCGCCTTCGTCCGAGGAACAGCAGGTGGGCACGGGATGTTCCACAGCCCCCTCCCAGCCAGCCACGGGCCACCTGCCTGGCAGGACACTGGCACAGAGCTGGGGGCATGGGTAAGATCCCAGAGAAAGCTTTGGAAGGTGAGCCAGCAGCAGAGCTGGGAGGGAGATGAATAACCGTGGCACTCCTCTGCTCTGTTCCCTCGGTTCATGCTGGTGATCTTTCCTCCTGTTTCATCCACCCTCGGGGCTTTCAGGGGCTCCTCCCAACCCCTATCCCTTGTCTGATCCGTAGGAGAAGAGCTGATTGACTTCTGGCTCATCACTGAAAGGCTCCTGGGTCTGGACGAGTCAGATGGGAGTCAGAGGGACCTGTTCTTGTCCCTGATCCACAGGCTGAGAGCCACTCACCTGCGTGAAGGCTCCAGCGTCGTCACCCTCTGCACCACCATTGCTGGTAAGGAACACGGGAGCTGGGGATGAGCACTGCCCTTCCAGAGAGGGGCTCTTTCCTGGATGCTCCCAGGCGGATGGGATCCCCTCACCTGCTTGGTTTGGCTGGGGAACATCATAATTCCCTGCATCCATCTCAGGATCTCTGCCGAAAGCCAGGCACATCCAGTCCATCAGCACCAGGAGGGACATCCTGAGCAAGATGCAGGAACAGGCCCTTATCATCATTCAGAGTTACTGGCTCCCTAAATTCTTTGTGCACTGCAAGATGGGGATGGAGGAAGAGGAATCGTGCCAGCCTTTGCTCCAGGAATATCAGGAACGTTTATCAGGGGCCTGCTGGCAGGAGCCCCCAGGCCTTTCAGAGCCCCTCCCCACGATGCACATCAAAAGGAGCCAGGGCGTGTCAGGGCCCTACTGCAGCCAGAAGGCCAAAGCAGAGATCTGGGCTCTGGTCAAGGAGGGCAGAGACACCCAAGAACTGAAAATGGCCACTTTTCAGGTGAAACCAGAGAAGCAGCCAGGGCCAGCTGGGAGCACGGAGGAATTGTATCTGGATAAGGATGCTTTGGGATCGATTCCCCAGCAGTCAGAGCATCCTGCAAATACATCATCTGCAAATCCTCCACCTTTTGGAGGCAGAGGAGGAGTAACATTTCCTGGAAGACCTCAGTCCAATGCAGAGCAGGATCTCTCTGACCTGCTTCCTTCTGCATCCCTTGCCCGGCTGCCATCCCTGAAAAAGCCAGTCAAGATCTTGGATTTCCTTCCCTGGGCCCTGAGAGGCGAGGCCTGTGCGGGACGACCCTTCAGAGAATTCCTGCAGCGCCAGAACCGGCCCATGGAGACTCATCTCCTGGACCTGTGGTACGACTTGGAGGAGTTTCTGCCTGTGGTGCTGGACTCCAACAGAGAAAACAGCTTCTTCCTGCGCCATTTGATGGCAGAAAATATCTGCAAGACCTACCTGGAGGAGGACAACATTGAGAAGCTTCCCTTGGAGACCAGGACTCTCGTGAGTTTGTGGGACCATCTGATATGTGGAGAATTCTCCCCCTGGATATTCAGAGCCCAGAAGGAGATTTGCAAGGTACACAGGGCTGCTGGCAGCAGTCAGGCTGGGAGGTAGAGCTGGCATTGGCACGCCTGTGGTGGTTTAGGCAGTGAAGAATTTGGAAAATTAAGAGGAAAAGAGATTAGGAAAGGAAAAACTTGCACAGGACCAGTGACCGAGATGCCCCAGGCCAGTGGAGAGGAGCATCCTCACTGGTTTGCTGGGCAGCAGAGCAGGGCTGAGCAGTCATTGAATATCTCTTGTGCTCCTGGCTAGATGCACATTCCAAGGGCTGGGGATGACAGGGCAGTGGCCATCCTTTTGCATCCATCACTGGCTCCAGCAAAACCCATTTAGAACCCCAGCCCTTCTGGGCAGCCCAGCGGACCAAGCTGGATGTGCAGGCGTGTCCTAAGCATGTCAGCAAGTTGTGAGCCACCCATGGCACCAGCGCTGTGACCCTGCCTGAGGACAATCCCCTTTTGCTCCTCCTCAGGTGCTCTGTGGCCTCTACGAGGAATTTCTGGCCGATGACGACAGGACATTCCTCCAGTTCATGGTGAGGGGGACGCACAGGGGCATCCTCGGGGGCTGTGCAGGCTCCAGCAGGGATGTGAAAAGTTGGAGAGAGAGAGAGAGAAGGAGGGAGGAAAAGCCCAGCATTAGCTGCAGTCGTCTAGCACCCCACGATATCCCCAGCCAATGCTGCCACAGGGTGACACAGCAGGTCCTACCCTGCTCCAGCTGCCTGAAGCAATGATCCTTAGCTCTTCCAGCACAGCATCCCATTAAGCTGGCAGATCCACCCTGCAAGATCTCCCCCGAGACAAGCTGTGACCCTGCCTAAAAGCAGGGAGAAATGTAATTGCAGGCTTTTAGGTTAGGCACGGGTGAGCCCAGCACTTGTGGGAATTGATCTGCTCCTGGCTTTTTTCCTTGCACACGCTATTAATGTGTAATTATTACTGCTATTAATGTGAGTCATGTGCATGACACACATGGGATGACCCTGCCCCAGCACCAGAGCCTGGCCAGCACAGGGAGGAAGAGGCCATGCAGCCTTTTAGCCTATGACTCAACTACCCTCAAGTTTTCCACATATATTTTTCCACCAAAAAGGGTGATACAAGAAATCAGAGTCACACAAGCATTCTTCCCAGACTGTTATTACCCCTGGCATCAGAAATCCCGTAATACCTACCCCAAATTCCAGCATTACACCCAGAAACCTCCTTGCAGGCAGAACCTCCTGAGCATCTCACCTGCACTGGTACCTGCACAACCCATGCAGGCAACTTTTCTCACTGCAGGTGGCGTTCTTCAAACCAACTGTTTCCCCCAAAACGAAATGTAAAATCAGCAGCTGATCCTGGAAATGCTGAGGAGAGGCTGTCAGGGCTCGGCATCCTCAGAGACCTGGTTCCCAGAGTCCAGTGAGAGCTGAGCATTTTGGAAAAGTCAACCAGCAGCTCCCGACCTTGACTCATTAACTGCTCTTGGTTGGAAGTTAATTAGCTGCCCAGGTTTTTCAGCATCTCCTGTCAGGGAAATCTCCCCTCTGAGGCCAGAGCTGGTCTGGGGAGTGCAGTTATCACTTCAGCAGGCGTTGGGGCTGTGCTCTCTCTGGGCACCATCCCCTGAGCCAAACTCCTCCTGGTCTCCTGCTCTGGTGTCAGGGGAACTGCTGGGACCTAGCAGGTTATTTTTGGTGCCTGCTCTCAGCTCTCAGTCAGAACCAGCCACTCTACCCCTGCTGCTTGGCGAGCTGTGCAAAGTCTGTGTGTGTGGGGAGAGGCAAAACCTGCAGGAGGGTTTTGGGGGGAATGAGGGAGGCACTCCCAGGGCACCTGCTGGAGCCAGCCCCGGTGACAGCAGCCAACAAAACAGCCCACGAGGCTGCCAGGCTGCTGGGGACACCTTCAGGGTTGTTTCCAGCTCTCCTGAGAGGATGTTGAAGTCTTTAGGAAAGCTGCAAGGCCGTGTCTGGCCTTCCCCTGGCTGCCTGTGCCTCGTACATCCCAGCCAGCTGAGCCCAGCTTTGTGCTCACATAGATTCCTTCCAGACTGCCTAAAGCTCAAGCAGAGATGTGAAGTGGGCAGGTGTGTAGTCTGAGGCACAGTAAAACATCTGGGCACAGTGCTGGAGGTGGGCAAGGTGCTCTGTGCCACCACCCTGCCCTCCTCTCCCCGCAGGCTCCAGGGATGGATGTCCCCATACCCGAGGTGCCAGGCCGTGCTGCTGGCAGAGGGGAACATTTCCACCTGTCCCAGAGGATGAACCAGTCCCTGAAGCTGAGCCAGGCCTTGCATGGCACCAGGAGCCTGGAGGGAGTCTCCTCCAAGCTCTGGCAGTTGCTTGCTGCTCGGGACCTCCAGAAAGGCGGTTCCATCCAGGCAGAGATGGAACTGCTCCTGGGCAGTGCTGGTAAGAGGAGGCTCCCAATTCACGTTGGCAGAAGTCAGTAAAGCATGTTTTATGCTCTGGTGGTGACCAATGGCCCTAAACAGGTGATGGACATCATGGAGTGGGTTGGTACAGTGGGTCTGGGAGCCTTCATTTGTAATCTAAGCTTTGGCAGTGACCTAAGGGCCAAATTCCCTCCTGCCAGTACCAAGGGCACCAAATGCCACATCCCTGCACTGGCCTGGATCACCAGATCAAATGAAGGCTGCAGAAAAGTGACTGAAGCCCAAAGCCAGCAGTGGCTCCTGCCACCCCAGTTCCACATTTTTCCCTTCTCCTGAGGATGCTGGGGCTGGCCATGCTGGTGCTGCTGGTGTAACCCCTCAGCTTTGTTCTGTCATTCAATCTTTGGGAGTGACACCGATTTTCTAGGCACCTGCAGTGCACTGAGGGTGACAGCAGTCCCCTGTAGCACCCCCGCAGCTTGTGGGCCCTCAGTTTTGCCCAAGAAATGCAGTGTCACGGGTAGATCATGGAACAGGACACACAAGGGGGCAGGGAAGGTAACAAACCCCAGCCCTCAGAGCCAGTGGTGCAGGGCTGTTGTAACCAGAGGGGACGGACAGGGATGTGTCCCCTCTCCTCTCTCTGATGCAGAATGCCAGAGGATGATGGCAGATGAGCTGGCTGTGGGTAGCCCAAGCAAGGAAGAGGAGCTCCTGCAGCTCATGAGTGCAGCACTGAGTGAGTCCAGGATGGGCAGGCAGGGTGGGCTCCCAAACACCTGGGGATCACCCCTGGGGATGCTCCAGGGACTGGGCGAGCAGGAGGCTTCCCTGCAGGCATGGCATCGTCTGGTGGAACTTCTCCAGAAGGAAAGGCCTGTCCACCCACAGCAGGCTGTGCTCTGGGGCACTAATCCAGCCAGGGAGTGTGGGAGGGGGGGATTTCTCTGGAGCAGATGCTGACGAGGTCACACCATGAGAGGTGAAGAGCTCCTACAGTGTCTCCTGAGCCAGAGACACCACAGGGTCCAGCTGTGTGCAGGCTCCTGTGTCCTGTCACCTGAGGAAGAGGCCAGCCCTGTTCCTGTCCCCACAGCTGTTGCATGCGAGAGGATTGCCAGAGAGAATGCTGCTGCTGCTGCAAGGAAGAAGGCATCTAGAAAACGCAGGTCTGGCACCTGGCAGCACAGAGCTTTGCTCCTTCCACTCTTTCAGATTTTTTCCCCAGTGCTCCCCTGTAGTGCCACTGCTCCCTGTTTGGTCATTTGGACCCTCAGTTGTAGGCATAGGTGGCCTGTGGAACTGCAGAATTACCAGGGAAAGGAGGAAAATGAACACTCCCCACCCCCAGTTCAGATTTACTCTTCACACCTTGTGCATGTCTGGTGCACTTCATCCTCAATCAAACCCGTAATGCCACATGGGCAACACTCAGATTCCCAGAAAAAAATACTTAAAATCACACTGTAGCCATACTTAAATCTCTGGACTCGTGTCTCACCTTCTGGGAACGCTCCAGCCACGAGTCCTTGCAGCTTCACACTGGGATATAAAGCAAATGGAAAAATTATGGTGAGCACCCGAGTTGAGCTGATTTCTTAAGCCCAGTTATGCACATGCACCTTGCCCAACATCCATCCCACCCCAAGGGGCCAGACAGCAACTGCAATAAATATATTTTTCTATGATCCATCAGCCAGTACATTGATATTCCATCCAGACCCTCACCCCAAACCTACCAAATTGCTTCTGGGCCTGCAGGCTGCTGGACTGGAGGAGGAAACACTGCAGATAAGCAGGACAGACACTCCCAAGGCTACCTCGTGCAAGAAGAGAGCCCAGGGGAGGGTATCTAGTGCCCTCTTCCATTGTCCAACTTCCTCCAGGAACAGAAATCCAGTGGGACCCCAACCCCGGGGCTATCCCCTATCAGCTGCTCCCCACCTTAGCCCCCCTTCCGTCAAACCAGTGCCCTCCTCATGCCTCTGGCTGCTCTTGATGCTCTCTCTGCTCTCCCATCTGGCAGTTTTGAGGAGGAGGACGAGGAGGACAAGAAGGACGAGGAGGAAGAGGAGGAAGGACATCAGAAGAAGAATAAGCAGAAGCAGGCACAGAAACAGAAGCAGGAACAGAAGCAGGAACAGAAGCAGAAGGAACAGCAGCAGCAGCAGGATTTGTTGCGCTGGAGCAAAAAGCCCAAGTCCAGGCGTCGTCAGAATGTGCAGGAAGGGAGAGAGACCATCAAGACACAGAGGATGGTAAGGAAAGACCCTGTGTGCTGGCACGATGAGGATGCTTGCCAGGCAAGAAAGAGAGGAGGTGCTGTGAGACAAGGGATGTCACACGAATGGGGTGAGGGTGTCAGACTTGGGGAGCTGCAGGAAGGCAGCAGGGAACGGCTCCCTCCTACGGGCTCAGGAGTCCTGCTCCACACAGACTTCACCACATCTGGTGAGAGATTCACACCAGCCCCTGTGGCCACCAGGGAAACTGAGAAATACTGGAAAGCAAAAATGATGGCTGGGTCACAAATCCCACTGCCAAGGCTGCTCCAGCTCACAGGGGTGGGTCCGGACAGGAGGGCTGAGCCCCGGTGCTGCAGCTCCCTGGCTGATGTCACCTGTGCCGTGTGTCCACAGGAATGGGCCTGGGATGCCATCCGGGAGCTTGTCAGGAGCTTCTGCAAGTTCCAGAGGGAGATGGAAAATCACAAACGCCGTGCAGAATTTGAGGAGTTTCTCCGTCAGGAGCGAAGAAACGAGAGGGAAAGTATGTCCAGTGTCCTGTCACCCCTCCTCCTCCCTCCCCAGGACACCCCTGGGTTTAGGTAGAGAAGAAAATGGAGAAAACCCATCCCTTACCTCCCACCACCATGACTTAGTGCCCTGTTATGCTGTTGCATCTTTTTCAAACAATGTTCTATATGCAAGTTTGCATCCCTGCCCCCCAAAAAACCAACCAACAAAAAACCAACCCAAAATAGGAAACACGAAATGGAGCTAAGGTGAGACAGGCCAGAAAAATTTAAAAAAAGGAAATTCTTTTCTGGGCAACAGGAAGCTGGCCTAAACAGAAAGTTTTCACACAGATTTGAGAAGAGGCTGGAAAAGCAGTTAGAGGTGTAATCTACTAAATACACAGAAACCCCATCTAGATCAAGAGAATTTTGTATATGGGGAAATCATGAGATATTTTTCCCTTTCATCCTCGCTCATTATCTGTTTGTGGGCTCTGTCAGAACCGAGGCAACAGCTAGACAGACCAACAGGCTTTAGCACCAGGCCATTCCCTATGGGAACAGTGAACATTAACACTGTGGGGACAAAGAGGAGGAGGGATGGAGGAGATCACCAAGCTAGAAGGAGGGTGTAGTCCACAGAGGTAGAAAGGCCCTCAGCAAATTGCATGCAGGTAAGGGAAGTGCAGGTGAGGTGGAGGAGCAAACCCAGTGCTGGGCAGCAGGACACAGCATCTCTTCCCCTGCCTCAGACTTGCCTGTCAAGGAGAAGAAGAAGAAAAGTGCCGTGAAGGGCTCCCACAAGGGCAAAGCCCGGCCGGAAAAGGTGGCGCTGATAAAACGCCGCATTTTGGACAAACAGCTCATCACCGTCAACTTCCTCGTGGACGACCTCCGCTTTTACCTGGAGATGGACAAGTAAGTTCTTCTTCCACCAGGTGCTCGGGTACCCCTGCAGAATCCCACAATGGTTTGTGTTGGAAGGGACCCTAAAGGTCATCTCGTTCCAACTCCCTGCCATGGGCGGCAGGGACATGTCCCACTGGACCGGGCTGCTGAGAGCTCCATCCAACTTGGCACCAGCCTCCCTCGGCTCTGGCCTGAACCCATCTCTGATGGAGACCTCCAAAGCCCCCATTTCAGCCTGCAGTCATCCCCTGGCTCAGGGTTCCTGTTTGAAATCCTTTTGGTTTGATAGTCCCAAGCAATCCAGCATTTTGCCCACACCATTCTGGATGTCTCAGTTGTGGTGGCATTTCCCCCTTGGCTTTGTTCAAGTTCCCAACAAACCTGTAAGACCAATCCATGGCCAATGGGCACCAGCCCTGCAGCCAACACCCCCACAACAGGCAAATCCCCAGCTCTCAGTCCTCCTCTTTTCCCAAAAAGGGGGAACATCACCTGCCCCAGATGAATCCTGTGACCACGAGGGCGGCAGAAGAGGGAGGTGGCTTTTCATACCTCCCATGTCACTGTTCCACACCTCGAGGATTGCTTTTCCTGGCCAAGCAAATACCAAATCAAGCCAGAACACGACTGTCTAGCCTAGCAGTTACCAGCACTTGTCTCAGAGCAAGACCCCATGTGCCTTTGCAGGTTTTCCAGGTTGGCTGACTGCAAGGAAGCTGTGGCACCCCTCAACGTGCAGTCAGAAAAGCGTGTTGCCTTTCTCAAAAAGAAACATGACATGATCAGCAGACTTTTCCTGAACTCTGATATCCCCCCCAAGCTGCGGGTGAGACCCTGGACCTGCCCAGGAAGGCTGGAGGCTGCTGCCTGCCCATTGCAGTGGGGGGGAAAGAGGGACAGGAGGGGGTCTGGGTATGCTGGGGGGGCTTTGGGGCGTGCTCTGGAGCTTGGGGTTTCCACAGGGGCTGGGAGGAGTGGGAAGAAACCCTCCATGAAACCTTGATAAATTGAAAACAAGCATGTGGATAAGGATGGGGGAGAGATGGGGATGATTCTCCAGCATTACCTGCTGGAGAAATGCCAAGGCTGAAGCACCAGGATGGTGCTTGCTGCACACCATCAGTCCAGACCTTTCCCTCTTCAGAGGCCAGTGTCACCATTATCCCCTCCCCACTGCACCCACCCCAACTCCTCCCAGTAACTCTGCCATCTCCCCTTTGGAGGGCACAAAGCTTCCCACAGAAATCCATGTGGGATCTTGCCCTTGTGCCTGGGCCAAGCAGCCAGGATGGAATTTGGGTGTCTATTTAGAGAAACCTGAGTGCTGCAAAATGCTTTGGTCTCTTCTGTGCCCAGGTCAACATCTCTGAGAAAGAGAAGGATTCAATCTGCCGTTTATCTTCCAAGAAGCCACTGGCCCAGGCCATCTACCACAACGCCAAGGTCACCCTCTTCCCCATCCTGATGTACTTCTGGAGAAGGTACCTATCCATCCCCTCTCTCCCACGGTGGAGGAGGCTCTGGGAATGCCACCCTTTATCTCCAGCAACTTGTTCCTCTGCCTGAGCCCCCCAGGAGCTCAGCTGGAATTGTCCCCTTGGAGCTTTGCTGTGCCTGCTGTTTCTCACGCAGGTTCTGCAGCTGGAAGGTGATGAGCAGCTACCGGGAGGTGAGGAGCTCTGAGACCCGTGAGGACAGGAGCTCTGGGCTCGCCAAAGGGCACAAGAAATCCCGGGTCCAAAAGGAGGAGCTCAAACGGGGCAGGGCCCACAAGGAGGGAAAGGTTCCAGCCTCTTCACCTCCTGCAAAAACCCCCTCCAAAGCACCCAAGATCCCGGATTCCAAGAAGGTGGTGGCTGCTCCCTCTGCTACACGTTATGCTCCAGGTTTGCTCTTCTAGTGCAGAAACCCAGACCCGACATCTTTTAAGTTCCCCTGAAAAGACCCCCTCCTTCACACAGCTTTGAGGGTGCAGGCCTGCTGGGAAAATGGAATGGAATTTTTTTTTTCCTGTCAACATCGGTCAAAACTGTCCAGCGGGATTTTAGAAATTTTCTTTGGTGAATAGGCAAGTGAGCACAGAGACTTCCCAAGCAAAGAGATGTTGCATAATTCCTATTTATTGCAATAATCAAGTTAAAAATACTCAGGCACACTCCCTGAAACAGAAATAAAAACCCCCAATCTTTCGGGCTGCAAGTCAAATGGGAGCAGGAAAAGGAGAACAACTGTGCAGCCAAACACCAGGCACACTGGCATTCCATGGAAGGTGCTTTGAATATCTGGAATGGAGAATAAGCTCCATCAGGATTTGAGGTGACACCTCCAGGGAAAGAGATGTTTTTTCTTCCTCATCCCCTTGTTTAGTTTCGATACACTGAATAACTCTAAACTGAAAAGCACAAAGTGATGCTGAGCGCTGTCAGTCTGCCTGACAGCCCGCTCCTTGGCTGAATATTCATTTGGAAATTGTCTAATTGATTTTTGATTAAAGGGGAAACCAAAATAGGCACATACTAATCTTGCTTTGACGGATGAGTGGGCGTCAGCAAGCTGCTGTTCTGCTCCCTGTCATTTATCTCTGTCAAGTTCTGGCTAAAAAGCAGCAGAGTTCGAGGATTTGGATGCCTCCAGGCAGGTGTTTGAGCTCCTGCTCCCCAGCAGGGCTGAGGTGACAGAGCCCTGTGCTCCAGGAATGCCAAGCCGTGTCCTTAGCTCAAACCACCTCACACCTTGGCTATTCCCATGGACAGCATCCAGTCTTCAGCTTGGGTCTCTACCTTGTTACAGAACCTCACTACTTTTCCAGGACCTTCTCAAACGTAGTTGTTTTAATGCAAAAGTGACCAAAAAAAACCCCCCCAAACCCCCCAAAAACCTCATGTATCACACACGCCAAGCTAGTGATGAGACAGAAGCATTGTGTTGCACCAGAACTGTGTTACCCAGGACAAGGACAGTGTTTGCCAGGGTCTTCAGAGAGCAGGGAGAGTGACATTTAAACCGATTCGGATTAGAGATAGGAAGTCGTTTTTACACTAGAGGGTGGTAAAACACCGGTACAGGTTGCCCAGAGAAGCTGTGGCAGCCTCGTCCCTGGAAATATTCAGGATCAGGTTGGATGGGGCTCTGAGCAGCCTGGCCTGGTGGAAGGTGTTGAGGGCTGCACTAGATGGCTTTGAAAGGTCCCTTCCAACAGAAATTATTCTGTGTTTAGATCAGTGCACACTGCTGCAAGGGTTGGGACAGCCCCAGGCAGCTCAGCCCATGTTTAACTACAGCCACAGAGAGTGACTGCACTGGGAGCTGCTCTGGACACGTAGAAAAGGCTGTGATCCCTCCAGCGTGGACATTAATCCCACAGGAACTGTCCCTGGGACAACTGTCCCCAAGCCACCACTCCTTGCTGCATCTCACAGGGATGAGTAACAGGAGCCAGGCAGAAAAAAAATCCCTCAGCTTGCCTGGCATGTAGGGGACAAGATGTGTGACCCAAAATAGCTGCTGTTTGTGACTGTGCTGATGTCCACACCAGCTCCAGAGACACTTTTCTACACCTTATGCTTTCACAACTGACCTTTCTCTAAGGGTCTTGCTTTTCTTACCTTTAGGTAAAAACTCTTTTTTGAGCTGGGAAGGAAAAAAAAATTGGTTTTGTTGCCTTTTAAAAAGCACCGAAATTGCTGGGGGAAGTGCCTGTAATTGCAGAGAAAACCTCCTCTCCTCCACGCTCCGCTCTCCCCTTGTTTTGAGGGATGTGCAGATGCTGGGTGGTGGCAGGCAGGGACCCATGTGCCATCACCAGGCGTCACTGTGGCACTGTCACTGCTCTGGCCGAACCCAGGGTGACGCCTTGGGAGGCCAGAACAGAGGCTGGACAATGTTAAAGGAATAAAGAAAGGATTTATTTAAAGGCCTTCAAAGGATACACCTTGGGCAGTGCAAGAGCCCACCCAAGATGGACAACTTGTCACGAGTTTTCACACTTTTATAAGTTTTTTTACATTTCCATATTGGGGTTCATTGTCCAATTCCAGGTTCTGCAGTCCCATCCTCCCAGATTCTCTCCTCAATTCCCTGTTGTTTGCACTTTTTGGGCCTGAAGGTTCAGGGGTGTCCTTGGTTGTGGGGCTGGCAAAGGATTGTTTTGTGTGAGCTGTGAGGAGAACTCGTAACACTTTATATGAAGTGCAGAGTCACACCCCAATGCAGTGCAGAATCTGGAAAATATGAAAGCTCAAACCTAAGACACCAATGGCCACCAGCTCGTTGTGACTGCTGGGACAGAAGCACAAAGCCTGGCACACGTCCCCATCTCCCATTTCTGCCACCCAGCCTTGCCACAGAGCCAGGGTGGGACATGTCACCCCCACCCTGCAGCCCTAAACTGCTTTGCCACCAAGGACACCTCAAGTCCTTGCTCAGCCATCCTTCCTTGTGCTCTGGGCAAGCCCCGGATGATTTTGGGGGGACGCTGCTGCTGTCCTCCCTCATTTTCCAGCAGAGCACTCCATGGCTTTTCCCTCCCCAGGTAAAAGGCCTGTCCTTACCTTCACGCTGTCAGAGGGCCTCGAGCTCCTGGAACCACGGTCCCGGAAGAAAGCTGAGCCTTCAGAGGAGCAAAAAGGTGGGCCAGGGCTGCAAGGAGCTCCTGAGGGCTGCGGAGACGGGAGCTGAGCCTGGGGGCTCCCTGCAGCAGCCCGTGGTGAGCAGTTTGTGCTGTTGTTTCCCCCAGATCCAGATCCCAGTGAGAAGAAGAGGCCCTCGGTCAGCGAGTCTGCCCCACAGGATGGGCAGGTGGTCCCAGAGGTGCTCACCTCCTCCAAACCCCACAGCACAGGCTGGGGCTCCCCTTAAATCCCAGGGGTTTGTGCAGGATGCTGCTCGGCCCCACCATCTCCAGTAACAGTCACAGAAAACTGTGCTGGTGCACATCTCCATGCCCAGAACCCCTCCCTGCGAGCATCCCTGATCCCTCTTCACCAGAACTCCAGGCTGAGAGCATTCTTGATCCTTCTCCATGCCCAGAACTCCTCCCTGGGAGCATCCCTGATGCTTCTCCATGGCCAGAAATCCTCTCCGGGAGCATCCCTGTTCCCTCTCCATGCCCAGAACTCGTCCTTGGATGAATACAGCCATGTAGTCTCCCCTACTCTCTCTTTCCATGCCCAGAACTCCTCCCTGGGAGCATCCCTGATCCCTCTCCATGCCCAGAACTCCTCCCTGGAGGCATCCCTGTTCCCTCTCCATGCCCAGAACTCCTCCCTGGGAGCATCCCTGTTCGCTCTCCATGCCCAGAACTCCTCCCTGGAGGCATCCCTGTTCCCTCTCCATGCCCAGAACTCGTCCTTGGGAGCATCCCTGATGCTTCTCCATGCCCAGAACTCCTCCCTGGGAGCATCCCTAATCCTTCTCCATGCCCAGAACTCCTCCCTGGGAGCATCCCTGATCCCTCTCCATGCCCAGAACTCCTCCCTGGGAGCACACAGCCCTGATCACCCTCACCCTCCCTTCAGCAACATGAAGCATCTCTCCCTTCCCTGCAGGAACCAGGGGAAGCTCAGCCCTCCCCCGAGCAGCTCTCCCAAAACACCACCCACACAGATGTGATCCAAGGAAGCTGAGCAGCCTGGACACAGGGAATCATTTGCACTCAGCAATAAAACCTAAAAATAAAGCAACTCACAGCATCCTGCAGCTTACCTGGTGACAGCACAGCAGCTCACAGCCATGGCAGGGACGTGCTGTGACGCATGTTTCCAGCTGGAACACCACACAAATCTCCTTCCTCACATGGATCTGTAAAATGTACCTCAGCTCCTCACCTTTCCACACAAATTAAATACTTGCTGGGGGTAGCAAGGCTGAGAGAGCCCGTTGGCTTCACTTACTCAGCTGGGTGCTGAGATGGTGCCTGTTTTGCCAGAGCCTTCCTGATTTTCCAGTAAAAATCAGCTCATGCCTGACTGGGGCTTCAGTATGCTTTTTTTTGGTGAAGTTTTGGGTTTTTGTTGTTTTTTTGAGCCAGTGTGTGTGTTTACAAAGCACTAACCAAATCTTAGCAAGGGCTTTAATTTTCCCCAGGTGAAACTGAGTCAAAGTGACTTTGCCAAGTCACCAGGAAGCTGCAGAAATCACAAATATTGTTTGGACCTCATGAAGAAAAGACCATAACCTTTATCAGTTTGTCAGAGGCAAGCTCTCAGCTTTGTCATTTTGAGCTATTTTTAACCACTTTTTAATCCCAGATCCTAGAAGAATGCATCCTGGGAATAACACCAGGTATATTTTGAGGCAGATGACAACATGTTTCATAGTTATCAGTTATGATTATCAACACTTTGCTTCTGGAGGATCAAAAATACCCAGACCCCAGAGCATTTATTTAACTGAAGGGCTTGGGAAGCTGATACCATTCCTACAACATGAAATGTGACCAACTCTCAGAACTGCTCTTGTGCTGGATGTTGATTTTGCCCCAAGAGCTTTCAGGCCCAAAATCTTGCTGTGTTTTTGTGAGCTTGTCACTGACACTCCAGAGCCCAGCTGAACCCTCTAAGGCCTCACAGATGTGCCTGAAGCTCAGCACAGCAAAGCCACAGCTAAGAGCAGCCCAAAAATGTTGGTGCAAGAGGAGTCATTGTTTGTCCTGGTTGCATTTTCTCATCAACAGTTGCATAGCCAAACTTCCATAATGCATTTAAAAGGTTCCCAG